TGCACTTTCTCTCTCTCTCAAAATAAATAAATAAACATTAAAAAATATAAAATAAAATTAAAATACTCTTTAAAAAAGGAAAAAACAACTAAGGGGTTAAAATGTTTTGGCCCTTAAAAAAGAAAAATAAAAGGGAGGGGCACCTTGCTGGCTCAGTTGGTGGAATGTGCAACTCTTGATCTTGGGGTTGTGAGTTCGAGCCCCAGGTTGGGTGTAGAGATTACTTAAAAATAAAACCTTAAAATTTTTTTTAAAAAGGAATGAAGTACTGATAAATCTCATGTCTTAGTTTGCTTGAGCTGCCATAATAAAATGCCATAGTTAGGGTGGCTTAAAGAACAGAAATGTACTTGCTCATGGTTCTGGAAATCTGAGATCAGTGTGCTGGAATGGTTGGTTTCTTCATTTCTTTACAAAAAAATTTTTTTAAATGTTTATCTATTTTTGAGAGAGAGACACACACGGAGTGGGAACAGGAGAGGGGCAGAGAGAGGAGACACAGAATCCCAAGCAGGCTCCAGGCTCAGCACTGTCAGCACAGAGCCTGACTAGGGGCTCAAACTCATGAATCATGAGATCATGACCCGAGCCAAAGTTGGACACTTATTATTATTTTTTTTTTCAACGTTTATTTATTTTTGGGACAGAGAGAGACAGAGCATGAACAGGGGAGGGGCAGAGAGAGAGGGAGACACAGAATCGGAAACAGGCTCCAGGCTCTGAGCCATCAGCCCAGAGCCCGACGCGGGGCTCGAACTCACGGACCGCGAGATCGTGACCTGGCTGAAGTCGGACGCTTAACCGACTGCGCCACCCAGGTGCCCCATGGACACTTAACCGAATGAGCCACCGAGGTGCCCCAAGAATGGAGGTTTCTGGTGTGGCCTCTCCCCTTGTTGCAGGTGGTTGCCTTCTCGTTTTGTGCTCACACGATCTCTTCTCTGTGGGGGCACACAGAAACCGCTAGCAAACTCTCTGGTGTCTCTCTTTTTTTTTTAAGTTTATTTATTTATTTTGGGACAGAGAGAGAAAAGAGAATGAGTGGGGGAGGGGCAGAAAGAGAGAGGGGGACAGAATATCTGAAGCAGGCTCTGGGCTGACAGCAGAGAGCCCGATGCAGGGCCCAAGCTCATGACCTGAGCTGAAGTCCCCCCTGTGTCTCTTCTTACAAAGGTACAAATCCCATCGTGAGGCCCCACCCTCGTGACCTCATCTAACCCTGATCTACCTCCCAGTTACCCTAATTACCTCCCAGAAGTCCCATCTCAAATACCATCACACTCAGGGCTAGGGCTTCAACATAGGAATTTAGGGGGACAACATGCAGTTTATCACATGGTACAAGATGAATGAACCCTGAAAACATTACACCAAGTGAAAGAAGCCAGTCATAAAGGGCCACATACCATATGACTCCATTAATACAAAATGTCTAGAGGAAGCAAATCCATAGAGACAAAAAGCAGATTAGTGGTTCCCAGGGACTGGGGGTGGGGGAGGGCAGGAAATACACAGTGACTGCTAATGAATACAGTTTATTTTGGGGGTAATGAAAATGTTCTGGAATTAGATTGTGGGCAATTGTTGCACAACTTTGTGAATCTACTAAAAAAAGAATCCCACTGAATTATACACTTAAATTTTTTTTAATTTACATCCAAGTTAGTATATAGTACAACAATGTTTCAGAAGTAGATTCCTTAGTGCCCCTTACCCATTTAGCCCAT